AAATTTTTGAAACATGTAAAGAAAGAACATAATATGTATACATTGTTTTTTTCTGGGAAGGTAGGGTTTTTTATAACTTTAGGAACGTTTACTCATTCATCTCCCAAATCAGTATTTATGACTTCCCATACCCTTCGACACTCCAGAGAGCAAAGTAAGTGGTAAGAAGGCAACCTGATTATGTGGAATCTTTGCCTTTTTTTAATGGAGATCGATCAGCAATCAAATGTAGGGCTAAAATTGTCAGACTACTGCAGAGCTCAGATCTCTGCCATCTGGGACTGGAAGGTGGGATTTGTGTTTTAAAATAGCTTGACCAAGTAGCTTATGAAAGTGATCAATCAACTATTAATAATCCAAGGTTCAGGGCCTCTCTCTCTCTCTGTCTCTCTCTCTCTCTCTCGCTCTCTCTCTCTCTCTCTCACACACACACACACACACACACACACCCCCCAAGCAAGTAGAAAGTTTTCCATGCCTAAATAACCTCTCTTCTCCTAAATCATCCATTTATCAGTATCAAGAGAGCTAAATACTGGCATTGCTTGCAGATTCAATGCCACAATATACCTATGGGTTTTGAACCTATGAAAAGCTATCTAGAAAAGTGGTAGAGTCAAATTAGCCTGAAGGATAATGCCAGTGTATGGTTTTCAATAATGGTTTGACAATGTTTCTTTCCCTAACAGGCAAGGTGAGCAATGAGTTGAAACCAGACACACTTGCTTACTACTCAAGACAAAAAAAAAAAAAGGAAAAGAAAAGAAATTCAATTCCCCTTCCCTGGCTAAACAAAAAAACTCTAGGTTTTAAACTCCTACGACCTAGATATAGTCAAAGAGATCATACAGCCTGTTCCTAGGGAGAAAAAGACCTCAACTTTCAGCTGCTCAGCCAACTCTTCAGTTTAGAAAACGTTTTTACAAGGGAATATTGAAACAAACACAAAAAGAAGTTTATGGGATAGAAACAGTGAATGACCTTAAACAGACCTAGCTCAGCACTAGGGAGCTGTGACCACACTGTTTCAACCTTCCATTGCTTGCTTGTAACAACATATAACCAGGCCCTTCTCTTAAGCTAGTGCTCTGAATTCCCATAAGGAAATATCACTTTTCAGAGAGGGAAAAAAAACCAAACACATTTTCCTGTACAGTCAATGATGGTGATGGGAGGGGGAGATTGGAGAAAGTAGGGTCAGAAAGGTCAAGGGGCTTTTCCATTGTTTTACTCAGTGTAACAAAAATCTCCATGTTGCAGAGATGACAAGCAGAAACTAAAAGGATTCCAAATGGTTGTGCTGAGTTGAAGTCTGTAAATACCTCTGCTAGGAAGACAGCATGTTTTCAACTCCAGCTTGCAAATTATATTAAATAATGAATGATGTAAATTAGACTGCCTTATTTATTAACAAGTCCAGTGTGGTTTAACCACATTCATAATGTAATGCATGGTTCTTTAATGCATAAAAGTACAAAGTTCTAAAACCCCCAATGAAGGAGCTGAGAAGTAAATATCAGAGTAATAAAAACTGATGTCTTCCACTGGATCTTTGTGAATGCCAAGATTTTTTTAAGTATGATTAATTGCAATGGCAAAACTTATTAAGGTGAGAGGGCCAAAATCAATGTATTAATGGCATGATATTACAACTGCTTTAGCCAGGCCAAGAATAAATTGCACATAGATGCTCTGGCAATAGAAGCTGCAAATTCTATATTGATATTGTGCTAAGAGAAAGGTATTAGCCATGTTTCCAAATATTACCCCTAAATCAGAAAACAACCGCCCAAGAAATTCAGGAAAACATCCCTATTGGTCTTCATAAAACATGTGCAATATAAAAATGCATGTCCTGCCACAAGAATGTGGACATACTTAACATTACGGAACTGTCCACTGTAAAATACTTAAGAAGATAAATTTTATATGCTTTTTACTGTAGTAAAAAAAGACCCATAACTCATTTTTGACTGTGTGTTTTACCACTTAGGTGAGACAGAGCTTGTCTTTTGTAATATAGTTTGGCACTTGATAGAACAGGGGTGTAAGTGGCCAGTCACATAATTCCAACAACAGGCTTCACTCTAATTCCAATTCTATGTGACACTGGTATTGTTTCAAAATTTAACTTAGCATGACTTCAGTATAGCCACTCCCAATATCAGGACCTGCCACTTTTAGTTTGCTGTTGAGCATGGAGGATATGTAGCCATAGTTAGAGAAACAGAGGCCTACCTACATATAGCACCTTAGCGGGTAAGAACATAACAGATGCTGTAATAAGAAGGTTTTTATTAAAATGGGTTCAAACAATGATTCTGACAACAAAAAAATCAACTAAGCCTGAACTGTGTGTGCAAACACAAAAATATCCTACCTTTTAATTAATCTATGCATATATTTTAGAATGTTCTGTCACTGGCTCTCTGAACCTAAGGGCAGAATGGTTTACCATATGGATACTAAAAGGTACACTATTTTTAAATGAAGTGGTAAATTATTGCTTTTACAAGTTCTAGTGACAATTTATTTACATTATTTGTTTTTACAAGAAATAAGAACATGTAACTTTAGCTACACACTTTAACGAAAACTTTAAGGCAAGTTATTTTAGGAATACCACTGGATGTAATAATCAAGTTTTTAAAATGTGTAATTTGGCTCCAACTGTAGCTGGTATCCACTGGCCAAGAATTTCAAAGCTATTCAAACAAATATTAATATGTAAGAAAAAGAGCACAGATGGTGTCATATAAGAATGAGAGTGAAACAAACTCATCCACTGATGTCATTTTGAGATCAGAAAAGCAGAATTCAAAATAATTATATGAGGTGCTTTCCAAACAAGTATTGCAATACATTTTACAGATAAAGACTGGGTGGGTTCAATCCCAGCTGAAGGACAGAGTAGACAAATGTACCTTCTATCAGACCTCTCATCTCTCCGGCCTAATATTACTAACCTAATTCCCCACCTGAGCATTCAGCTCCACACACCTCTCAAAAACAACAACACCAATGGTCTTCAAATCAGAGAAAAAATAGAAGAGTAAAAACCAAGAGAGCCATGACAGAATGAAAGACTGTGACAAATGCTTTCGTAAATATTTTTAAAATCCATTTAAAAAAGCCTGAAGATAGGAACCTGCCATCAGTATTAAAGATGCAGCAACAATTGTGAGAACAGTTATAAAAAAAACTCTGCTGAAATCTGTTGATGTCATATATACATCAGACATCTAAGCCCTTGAAGATTAGAAAAAATATTTTTAAAATGTAAAGCTAGTTTTCTTTTCTCAGTTGATGGCCTCAAAAATATTAAAGTTAAAAAAATGAAAATCATCAACTGTGCCTCATTTTCTTCATTATAGGTGTATCATCTAATGCAGACTTTAAAAACCACCACAAAGGAAAAAACCCCAGTATCTAACTGTATACATGCACCCTCCATGGTGTGCATGTATGCACCATGGGCTCTGCATTCCACCTGACTACTTGCACCTATCTCATGAAAAAGACACAGGTTCTTTGGACCAGCCTGGGGAGCCTCCACCCAGCCCAAGGCCAGTATGGTTTGGGTCCTACCCACCCTTCTTCTCCTGCCTGGGCAGCTGCTCCCAGTGCCAAAAAGATTAAGATTCGGGCATCTGGGATTCAGCCCCACAGTTGGCTGGTCCGGCATATCTCAGCTGTGCCAGGCCTACATTTTCCCCTAGGCTCTGTTGTTATTTCTTTCTGCCCGAGCCTCACAACATGAGCATCACCAGCATAACAGGCAACAGAGACCAGGAAGCTCTCTTACTTACATTAAAAAACAGGTTATCTCCATCAACTACGTTGGCAGAAACATGGTTGTGCGTTTTCTGTGTGTGGAGGGGGAATGCATGCGCACTCACTAACCGGAAGGCCACAGCCCAAGCCCTACTTTCAAAGCTGCCTATCTCACTGTGACACGCTATAAAGAATATGGGGGGAAACTTTGTCTTACAATCCTCTACACAGATGAATAAAATTTCATGTCATGAAGTATATGAAATGGCAAAGCCCCTAGGAAAGAAAAATGATAGCACCTCCATAAAGGTGACCTAGGAATTCAGGAGAAAGAACTGGTGAGTTCTTGCTTGGTTATGTATTTGTCAGAAGGCATCTGAAGGGAATAACAGAAATAGCTGGGCTTCTCCATCAAGCCAGGACAAGCTATACCATTTCTAGGGACAGGAGGGTTCAAGGCTAAAGCTAGCTTTCATCAGAGTACTACACTGCTTTACTATCCAGCCTAGACCTGGGAAATTATTCAGTGGGCAATTAAGATTTATAATCCAAATGGTCTCAAAATCATATCTCTGAGAAGTCAAGTCCAAATTAAATCAGACCAGGCTTTTAGCCTTCCAGTGATCACATTTTCCCTTTTGAGCGAGTGCATTTCAACACTCAGAACTTCTCTTCTTACGGATCATTTTCAAGGCCATCTCTGGATGCAATCTCCTAAGCAAAATCTGATAGATGAAATAAAAAGGGAAAATGGTTAACTCCAACCCTTAGAGAAAGACGTTGAGGGAGGCTCTCACTTCCTTCAACAGATTTCTTAAAGTTAATTATTTTAACCTTCTTTCTAGTAAATATTATTGCAACTTCTCCTAGCACAACATACATAGAGCATTTTACAAAACAAAAATGTCCAAAACTAAGTTCATTGTATATGATAAGCTTAAAGCACAACCAACAGAATTTAGAAATATAAAATGCATATGGAATTCCTTCCCACAAGGAAAATATATTATTGACATATGAAACTTATTTTGAAGTGTTACACTTCTCCCTACCCTGGCAGCCTTAATCCAGTGAAACAGAGGTAGGTGACAAATGGTCCATCCCTGTGTTTCTGGTCTCTGACTTCACCCACATTTGGGACAGCATTCGCATTCAGGACCTACCCATTGGCCAGCCCGAGCCAGAGGGAAAGAGAGAAAGAAAGAGGAAGAACACCAGGAACTTACATTTCGGTGATGTTCTCAGGCTCTGCACTGTTAGGCTCCAACCTCGGAAATGCCATGATGCCGGGAGAAGGGTCGTTGCACCAAATCCGAGAGGCACTGCATTTGCAAGACGTGGGACAGGCGAGGGCGGCCCTCCAGAAGCACACAAGCAGCCAGCAGAAACCCCAGAGCCGCGCCATGGCAGGTCCATGCCACCTCATCCAGGACGACATCCCTAGCCTCCAGTGCAGCCCGAGTGCGTGTTCGCGCGCTGCACCCCCGGCGTTCCCCGGCACTGCGGGGAGGCCTTCCCTGCGCTCCCTGCCCACTGGACTCCTAGGTGCTAGTCGCCGGTGCGCAGGGTCGTGTGTGTCCAACGCTGAACCTGTCCGGGGCTGAGTGTATATGGGTGGGCGGCACCGATCACAGTTGCCGGGGCATTGCGGACCGCTTCTCGCGGGGTGCTACCGCCGCTCGGAGCTCCATCGCGGAAGCTGCTGCATGGCTCGGCTCGCGGGGCACCGGCCGGCGGCGCTCCCGGGACTCTCTGCGCGCAGACTCCTCGCTAAAGGCGCACGGGGATCCGAAACGCACTTCGGGGCTGAGGACAAACAGACACGCATAAGACTAAGCCAGGACCCCATACACCAAAAATTGGAACACTCTCCCTCCGCGTTCACCTCACCCCCACCCGACCCCCAGCCGGGAAACTGTGGATGGATGAAGCGCCCAGGTCCGACCCAGGAATCAACTTGCCCCAGGATGGCACTGACGCTGCTGGGGCCACCAGTGTGCCCGCCCTCCCTCCAAGCCTGAGGCTGAGGGAGGAAAGGTATGGAAAGGGTCCCGGAGACAGGATTCCATGGCATAGGCCGGACGAAGGACCCTTAAAAAGGGGGACAAGGAGACTGCCGGCGGAGATGGCTCCAAGACGGAGCCCCCAATGATGCTGCAGAATCCACCTCGGCCGCTGGGCGCAGGGGGCGCGGGCAGGTGGCGCGGCACGTCCCACCTGGGGAGCAGCTGCGGCTGCCCCAGAGGGGGACAGGGAGGCCCCAGGCGACTGAGGGCACTATCTGCGCTGCTCACCCAGCCTCCGGCGCCACACGCCTGACGGAGGCGCCTGGGTCCAGGCTCCTCCCGCCTGTAGGCACTGAGCGCAGAGAGCGCGACAGAAGCAGCAGCGAGGCTCCTGCTCCAACCCAATTCCGGGAGCCGCCGCCGCCGCCGCCGCCTCTGCTACTGCTGGCGAAGTGACGTGAGGGCTGACGCAGAGCAGGGGCAGAAACTCCAGAAAATTAGTCTGAAATCCAAAAACACACACGTTCACACACACACAAACGCCTAACACCCTCCAGACAAAAGCAACAGGGAGGGGAGGGGATCTGGGGGCGAGCGGGGAGGAGGGAGGCTTCGGTGCGGTGCCACTGGCCAGGAGCAGACAGCAGCAGCATGTGGGAGTTCACACACGCGCGCACACACGCACACATCCCGACCGTGCAGACACGCGCGTGCGTGCGTGTATGTGTGTGTGCGCGCGCGCGCGTGTGCGTGTGCATTTAGATCCAGGTACCTCTGAGATGGACTGTTTAGCTGCTCGACACCTCCTGGTCTGCAATTCACATAGCCGTCTCTTTTTATGATAGCAAGAGAAGCTGCCTCCCTTTTTGAAATGGAAACCTGGCTTGGTTCAGCTCTGAAATGCGCGGATTCTTATTATTGGAATTCTCCCTTCCCTCTCCCGCCCTGCTGCGTTCTTCTTTCTCGCCCTGCCTAGAAGGGACAAGGAGCTATCCCCAAATAAGTAAATATTGTAAACATCAAAACGTGCTCTACGTTGATAACCAAGGATAGCTGCCCCCATACCCAGCTACCTATTTGGGGATTTGTGGTTTTGGAACGTCTTCCTGTTGGTGCTTTTGCACAGGGAGAGGGGTCTCCAAACACCACTCTGGCTAAGTGGGTCTTTTTTTTCCTGCCATTTTCAGCCATCGCACGCCTGGGAAATAGAGACATCTGAGGGGAAGGGAGCGCGCCTGATGCGCGTTGGATTCTATAAACGCGCGGCAGCAACCCTGCCCTGTCGGATGTGTGGCGCCGCGTCTTTTTCTAACCTGCATGGTGCAGCCATTTCCAAGATCATAGCTTCACTCCCCGCAATGCCCACCCCCACTGGGACACCCGAGCCCTTGCTCCCCTGCGTACCTTGTGCGTGTTCGTGTGTGCGCGGGTGTGCGCAAACGCGTGCCCTGCGCCCGCGCTGTCCGGAGCACGGTATGCATCCAGCTACACGGAAGCCCGGTGTGGGGCACAGCCTCGGGGTCTCACTAAGGGACAAATGAGACGATCCGGGAAAGTCTAGTGACAAACCTTAACTGCTCTCCCAGTGCACTTAAATGATGGCTACTGGGCATTCGCAAGCCTTGTCTGAGAATCCTTCCCATTTGCGACTAGGAGAGTCTGTTTTTCCGCAGTCATTTAAAAGGGAACTGAGAAAATGCGCCGCAGTGCCTGACACTTCCGAGGGCTTTGGTGCCCCCGCGCGGGGAGACAGAGCCCGGCACGCTTGGGAGCACCAACCTACTGCCATGGTCGCGGCCAGCACTGCGCTGAGGGCGCACTCTGGAGCCAGATGCGCAACCAGCGACGCCTGGCGCGTGCACGTCCCTGCCTAGCTGGTGCTCCACTCCCCAAAGACAGGGGTTCTATGAGCGCCTGAGGGCTACCGGCTAGGGTCTAGCGCAAAATGTAAAAATGGTCACCGATCTGCCCTCAGAGGCTGGGGATGGGAAAGATGGAGAACTCAAACGTCAGAGTGAAGGCTCAAATCTCCACAACGCCTTCAATATTACAAGGGAAGAAATGTGTAGCTAGGCTTTTGTACAGACTCTAAGCTCTGAGTGTAACATAATGAATCAAAAATCACGCTGCTGGCTTGGATGACAAGTCCAGCAGGTCTGCCCCAGGACTGTGATTGATACACATTAGGTGCTGATAGACCAGACAGAAGTTTATTCCACACTTCCACCTTCATTCTCTGCTGGAAGAATGTGCCAGGGAGGAGAGGCCAAGGACAAAAATGTCTTGATCCAGGTCACACAGTGAAACTCAATCTGTCGTTCCAGTGCCTGTTAAGTGGAGAAACCCCTACGGAACAGTCAGGATAAGGGCGAATACATAATTACCCACATTTCTCCTAACCCACCCTCGCCCCCATTTTCCAGGAAATGGACCTTTGTGTGTACCCTAGTGGCTGCGATGTCAATATGGCATCCAAAGGATTGTCAGTTTTATCCTTTTTTCATTATTTAGAGAGTACTGTATTAATTTCTATAATTAAACCCATGTATATAAGTCCTTACATATTTAATACAGCTTCTTACCTCTGTACAAATGGAAAAAATTAAGTTTAACATTTCTAGACCAATATGGCTATTAATTTCTGTACAATGTCAACTCAACACGGTAAAGTGGGATACTTTTTCCAAGGTTGACGGCATAGCTAAAGTTTCCAAAAAATTGAACATATATTGTGTATATATATTCATATAAAAGACCAATAATAGCAATATGTTATGCATCAATAGCAGCAGCAGGTTTTCCAGGTTGTGAACAAAATTGTAAAGACATCCAGGACACTCCATTTTAAAAAAAGAAAAGAAAAAAAAAACAGAAAACAGAAAAATTCTGTTACTGTTGTAGTACCTGGCACCAATTTTTTTAATTGTTTTATTATTCATATGTGCATACAAGGCTTGGGTCATTTCTCCCCCCTGCCCCCACCCCCTCCCTTACCACCCACTCTCCCCCCCCACCCCCTCAATACCCAGCAGAAACTATTTTGCCCTTATTTCTAATTTTGTTGTAGAGAGAGTATAAGCAATAATAGGAAGGAACAAGTGTTCCTGGTTGAGATAAGGATAGCTATACAGGGCATTGACTCACATTGATTTCCTGTACGTGTGTGTTGCCTTCTAAGTTAATTCTTTTTGATCTAACCTTTTCTCTAGTTCCTGGTCCCCTTTTCCTATTGGCCTCAGTTGCTTTTAAGGTATCTGCTTTAGTTTCTCTGCGTTAAGGGCAACAAATGCTAGCTAATTTTTTAGGTGTCTTACCTGTCCTCACCCCTCCCTTGTGTGCTCTCGTTTTATCATGTGCTCAATGGCACCAATTTTTTTATTAGCTGCTCGGTACTGACAGTTTTAGAGTGGTTTGCAGACCAGAACCGTCCAATTATGATGGGATGTTTGTAGATTTGTAGTAGAATGGATATATATACACTATTACCTTTACATTATAAATACATCCCATCATCTGCCACTTAAAATTAGAATGAGCAGTCACTTCTAATCACCCTCCCCTGCTTTACCTTTTTGTCTTTTGTAACAGATCATTATTAATTATACTTATTAAATTTTTCTTCTGTTAGAATGGAAACTCTATGAAAGCAAAGATTATTATCAATTTTTTCATTTATATGTCTCCAGGAATCAGTGAGATGTGTTTAATGAATAAAATAAAACACTGATGTCAAAATTTCTTCCTTAATCTCTGACCCTTCAGGTCATCTGGATAATTGCCCCGTACACATTCGCTTTCATCTAAAATCTTTTCGGTGCTCTGAGTTCTCTTAACACTTCTTAAAACCTTAAATTCTGCCTCCTCTGATAGCCAGTTATGTTCCAACACTGGGACAGGAAGGGTATCCCTTCCGTTCATGCTGGTAACTCAACAGAACCATGAACAGTATCTGCAACACATTGACAATCAGTAACTAGTTCTTAACTGATAGAATTGTGGATCCATCTCAATTTTAAAATCTATAATCTATTTCCCAAAGATCACTCCAAGGATTCGCAGACCATGAATTTTTAGGAGAAGATGAACATTGCTCAGATGGGTAATATGACAGATGTTTTCTCCCCAGATCTCTTCAATGCAGGGATGGAAACTGAGTGCTACCAGTTCCTTCCTACACTGGACCAAGATGTACCAGAGCAATGTTCCTGAAAATATTCTATGACCCATGGTAGGAAATGCCCTTTACATCACAATCCAATACACATATACACAAATGCATATAACATTTTTAAAGAGTCACCAAAAAGCCTTACATAGCTTTAATATGTGGAATGCACTAATATTTTCTTTACTCTTATGTACCATTTAATTTTTATGTGTGTGTGTGGTATGGGGTTTGAATTCAGGGCCTACATCTTGAGCCACTCCATCAGTCCTTTTTTATGATGAGTTTTCTCAAGATAGGGTCTCATAACTATTTGCCTGGGCTGGCTTTAAACCGCAATCCTCCTGATCTCTGTTTCCTGAGTAGCTAGGATTACAGGTGTGAGCCACCAGCACCTGGTTTACCATTTAATTTTTAAATGTTTATAATAACTCAATAAATTGATTTTTAACATCCAATACTTGGTCATAAAAAGTATCAAAATATTGTCAACTTCTGCTTCTGAGGTGAAGTAATAGGGAACAGATTTATCCTCCCAATCAAGCAAACAACACCCTAAACAAATATATGAAAAGACAGTTTTTAAGAGTGGACATCAGACAATGAAGACCATGGCTTAGAAAGGGAGGCCAGGCAGAATTTAACTCCCTAAGTTGAGACAAAGCTGAGCGGGATGGGGAGGGGGTTGAGGGGGAGAGACAACGAGGCAATGTAAATAATGTACAATATAAGTCTAATAGGAATTGTCACTACAAATCTCCCCTGTATAATGAATATAGTCTAATAAAAATTTATTTAAAAAAGAGTGTGAGTGATAGCAAGTGCTAGGTATTCTATAAATATTAACAAAATAGTAAGGGTATACCATGAACAACTTTATGCAAATAAATTCGACAAACGAAATGAATTTATTCCATGAGAGATAAAGCTAGTGAATCTCATTAAAGAGGAAACAGATTACCTAAATGGTCCTATATTTAATGCAGAAATTAAATTTATAGATTAAAATTTTCCCATAAAGAAAACTTTAGTCCCAAGTTGGTTCATGGGTGAATTCTATAAAACAATTAAGAAAAATCCCACCAATTTTTCCTTCAGAAAAATTAATAAGGAATGCTTTCCAATACATTCTGTGAAGTCAGCATTTCCTTGATATCAAAATCAAACAAAGAAATTGTAAGAAATCATCAGGCCAATTTCTCTCTCTCTCTCCCTCTTTTTTTTTTTTTTTTT